AAAAAAAAAAAAAAAAAAAATAGCGCATAGTATTCGAAATAAAGGTAACAAATTTTTCACTCTTATTTTTTCGTTAACATATGAGAAAATTATAAATCGCGTTCGATCCCCAAGTCATGTAGAATGAATAGTGTTTCGTGTTGACAAGAAAAAGAGAGAGAACTAATCACGGTAATTGTGGAATTGGAAGAAGAAAGAGAAACAGGCGAGTGGGAGAGAAAGATGAGGTTATTTTATTCACGTTCGATTGCAGTAACTTGTCGCTGGAGCGATAGTTCTCGCAATGATAGAGCACGGTATCGGTAGCTCTCAGAGTTCTAGTATCGATTGCTCGTACTGGTACCACCACTGTGTAAGGGTGAAACTGGGTCGAAAGCACCCCCATATTCCCAACGGGAGTACTTCCGTCCTGCTTGCTCTGAAAACAGCACTGAAGCTCCATCTTCAGTCGCCACGTGCCATTAGTAATGCCATCGTTTAAATGCCAACTAATCGCCGTTTTAACGCATTCATAATGATTCATTTAAAAATTTACTGACGAGTTACGACCTTCCTCCCTCCAATACGATAACTTTATTATCTCGATTCTCGCGAGAACTTCATTTACGTTGTCTCTTTCGCCTCTTTGTTTTTTTTTACAAGTGTACAAGTTCTTCTGAATTACAACCGAACGAACATAACCTATCACATGGGTTACGATGCAACGTACGTACGTATTTATTTGTACGATTAAAAGTCGTATAAATGTATAAATATTTATCCATACGATTAAATTCGATTTTTTTGAAAGTGTGTAGTATTATTCCCTGAAAGAAACGAATCGCTTGGATGACTGAAGAGCATCGATCTCGGAAACCGTATAAAATTTAGTTGAAAACTCAGTGGCTGTGATGATAGAAACAGTTCTGAAGAACCACTCTGAATCGAGTCATTAATTTTTATCAATTTCCCGTAGGTGTCGACTCGTGAAAAGAACGCGAGACGTTACTTCGTCCGTCATAGATTTCGCACGCTTTTTGAGATGTTGCCGATCAGTTTTGCGAATAAGAATTCACGTTCGGTCGAATCATCGTATCGCGAAACTGAAACTGAACGATCGAGCCTCACGTTTGAAACTTCGTCGTTCGTCCAATTGGGGGAGGGTACGGAGAATTTCGTTGGAACGAAAATTGAAAATTAGGTCAGTTTGACCAAGCGAAACCGGGTTTCCAGGGCTGAGATCGAGCGCA